TCATGGAACGAAGGAATGAAACGATTCTCAAAAAAATTGCAGTTTCATCCCTTGAGACATGGAATATTTGCAAAGAATTTCATCCCATGGGACGTATGGGATAGAATGGAATTGTTCCATTCTATGGGAAGACCTGACTAGTTTAATGGTTTATAAACGAAATAAGTTTTAGAATATTCTTCTCCGCGTAAATCATAGTATTTTTACGTTAGCCTTCTCTCCAGAAAGGCACAGACCAAAGTTGTCAATAATAGTTCGCGTGGTGTTTTTTTCTTTTCTTTTCTCTATCTGACTCATGTTATTTTTTCTTTCTGTCATACTCGTGACTGAATGAAAACGAGAACAGAAACGATGCAATAACACTACATTATTGTGCAAGACATGAAAAACAAAGGATTGTTTAGTGTGACCATTCAGTATTGTGCAATAACATCAAAAGTTATTACTTGTCATTATGAAATTTCAGACGAACATCTTCAATATATATTATATTATAGAAACAAATCGAAATCAATAGTAAACGTATTGGTTCTCTGTTGTCAGATATAATCTTACTATCGGTAAATACTATTTCTTTTTGTTTATTTGCATTAGATTTTTAATTGGATATTGAAATAACACGTGAAATCAACCTTTGTTTTTCTTTCCGTAGTAATAAAAAGAGTATCATTATGGCTGAGAATAGTATAGCTATAAAACGTGGCGGTGGTTATATTGGTGCGTTTGGTCCTCGTATTGATACTATAGCAAATGAAGTTGTCACAAGTGCTGGTATTACTACAGTACCATCATCTCCTTATCATATAACTTTAATAACTAAAGATGAATTACGTCAATTAACAATAGATTTATCAAATAAAATCGATAATTTATATGACAATGCAACAAAAATCGATACAAAACATATATTTTCTCTTGGTCTTGGTGGTGATCCCAAAGGTGTTTGTTGGGTTGTAATTATTTGGAATGCAGCAAATATTTTTCGAAAAAAATATGGTCTATCTTGTAAACAATTTCATATAACATTAAGTGATAATGATAATCATTCACTTGATAAAAGTCTTAATTCATTATGTACAATATTTTCATTGGAAAATCTTAATTTAAATACTATTGATCATCTTGTTTTATCATATAATTTATCTGAACAATATGATCAAGCATTTATTTATGCACGAGAAATGTGTATTCGTTTTCCTGATTCTGAAAAAGGTTGGTTACGTTTAGGTGATATAGCAAGACGAAATGAACAATATAAATTAGCAATGTTAGCTTATGCACAAACAATGAATCTTGCTGATGGACAAGAGAATGAAAAAATTCAAGATTATTGTTGTAAAAAAATTTTTCACTGTGCATCAATTTATACCGAATGGGAATGTCTTTTTGGTGAAAATGAATTAGATCAAATTCCAGAAGAATTAAAAATAAATTTATTTACACCATGGACACAAATAATTCGACAACGTTTTATGAATATTTATTTAGATGAACAACCACAATTTCATCAAAATCCACGTGAACATCTTCTTGTACCTTTTATTGATCCAAGACACGGAAATCAAAATCTAGGTAGATATTAATATTTTATTTAATTGAAAATGAACACAAAAGAGAGGGATGAAAACAAATACCAATAGAATAATAAGAAATTCTGCAAGATGGATCAATATTTAAGTTTAGAAAAGAACACATCGACAGATACATTCATAGTGTTGAAAAAAATATAACAGAAAAATGTATCGTATTTATTCAACATAGTTTAATCAGTCTATTCGATATAAGAAGTAAAATGTAATTCTCTGGAAACTGATGAGTTACTCTTAATTGAGTTAACCTTTATGCAATATAATTTATAAGAATTTTCTTATTCTAGAGTAAAAAACTATGATTGAATTTTCTATGAATAGTCTTTATAAAAATACTACTCTCAATTATTATATATTCAATTCTGATCTTCTACATAAACATTTTAGCTCGCTTCCAAACGTACTCGTTATCATACTAAATACAAATTAAATAGCTAAATTTTTCTTGTCTAACGAGTGAAGTCTTCCAAGTAAATAATCGTGTTTGAGTCAAGATTACGTGCTTTCTGTAGACCCTTATGAAGTATAAATACACTGAAAAGAATATTTCGTTGTTCTTATCCTAAGATGCAGATATAATAAAAGTTTGTCTTTTGCAATGCTCATATACACAGGCAAATTTGACTTTCTTATTTCAAGAGTAGAACAAAACAACAGATAAGAAACTTTTACAGTAAACTATGCCGATTAAGGTTTCTTTCTATTCAAAATTTCAAGTCGAAATTCCGAGATGGATTTTCATACTATTTCTAAGGAAGACCACAGTGTTGATTTAAAAAAATACCGTAAAAATGTAATATTTTTATAGCAATAAATGAATTGTCAGAATTCTTTTCAGGGTATTCATAACTCATATAAATCTGCATAATGTACAGAGTCTTGACTTCAAAGTGATTAATCAGTTGGAGCATTTTTCTCTTAAGACTAAAGAAGTTCTATTCTTTACAGATACGATGTTGAAAACTTAGTCTAATATTTTTAGGTAGCTGATTAACAAAAAATAAATAAATAGAGTATACCTATTTCAAACCACATTGAAATAAATCAACTGTGAAAAACAAAAAATTCATGTAATGTGCTAGACTGAAAATCATGAATTAAAAACTCTATGTTTAATTTCTGTATTTTAATGTAAATTACTTGTTTTTCATTTAGAAATATTTTCCTTACCACGTTATTTTCGTTGGATTGTTCCATTTTTTTTATCTATCATGTCAACTCCTCGACATGAACGTGATATTGATGTTCTTGCATCTGCTCATATTGGTATTCGACATATAGTTACATTAACAGAAGAAAAACCTTTACCTGAAGAATGGTTTTTTAATAAAACAATATCCCATACACATCTTCCTATTGAAAATTATCGAGCACCAACAATTGAACAAGTTGATTTATTCTTTCGTTTAATTAATGATCCAACTAAAACACCATTATTAATTCATTGTGGTGGTGGAAAAGGTCGAGCTGGCACAATGATTGCTTGTTATTTAGCTATTTATGGTTTTCAAACACCAGCAGCTCAAGAATGGACACAACCATTTATGTCAGCTGGTGAAGCCATTGATAAATTACGACAATTACGACCTGGAAGTATTGAAACAGAAGAACAAGAACGATTTGTACATACATTTGTTAGTACTGTATGGAAACGACGATCACCATTACCACCATTACCTAATGAACCCGAAGGAATACCACTTGAAATAGAAGGACAATTAGATGGAAATATTGATTTAATAATGCTTTGTGGTTTACCTGGTTCAGGAAAATCCTATGTAGCACAAATGATATTAAGACGAGATGATCGTTGGACAATTATTTCACAAGATGAAACAAGATCACGTGATACATGTGAACGTGAATTAAGTCGACCAGGAAAATATTCTAAAGCTATTTTAGATCGTTGTAATCCAGATCGTGAAGATCGTAAACAATGGCTTGCTATTGCACATTGGGCACGAAAACCAATATGTGTCTATTTTGATTATGATCCAGATTTATGTATATCACGTGCACAGCAACGATCAGATCATCCAACACTTATACCTGGTCAACGTGTACGAACAGCTGTTCAAAGTATGCATAAACAAACGGAAAAACCAAAACTTGATGAAGGATTTGTTGCTATATGTACAATAAGATCATTTGATGCAGCTAATGATTTAATTAAACGATTAACACCATTGGGTATATTAAAATTTTTACGTACAGGACATATTATGAATTTAGGTGCTGCTACAGCTGATGATTTTTTAGTATCATTTAATCAAACAAATCATACACCGTATGTTGTTATAACAGAAAAAGTTGATGGGGCTAATATGGGTTTTTCATTATCAGTTGATAGAGAATTACTTGTACAAAATCGTTCACATTATATAACATCAACAACACATGCACAATTTCGTCCACTCTACACATGGATTGAAACACATCGTGAAAGTCTTTATCATATATTAGATCGTGATAATTCATTTCCCGAACGATATATTCTTTATGGTGAATGGCTTGTAGCAACACATTCAATACCTTATACAAGATTATCTGATCGATTTCTTGCTTTTGATTTATATGATCGTCAAACACAAACATGGACTGATCGTGATACACTTGAACGTTTACTTGCACAATCTAATATAATGTTAGTACCAATTATGTATCGAGGACCAAGACCAACAGATAATGTTTTAAAAGAAATGGTACATTATCCATCTCATTTTTATGATGGTCCTGTTGAAGGTATTTATGTTAAAGAAGAACATAATGGACAAGTTATTAATCGTGGTAAAATCGTACGAAGTGATTTTACAGCCGGTATAACTGAACATTGGGATAAAGCACCAATGAAAAAAAATGGATTTTTGATTGATGGTGATGATATCGAATGATTGACTTCTTTTATTCGTTGTTTTTTTCAAATAAACTTCAATATAAGCAAAATCCTTTCAAAAAAACAAAAACAATTGATACATAGCATAAATTTGTTTTTTTCTTGTATTGAAATTGGTGCTATGTTTACATACATCTGAATTATATATTGTTTTTTTAATCGGAATAAAAAAGTAAATCAACAAATACATTTATCAAATCTTCAAACGTTGGAAATAAGTATTATAATAAATATAAACAATGAAAAACAAAAGTTAAACTATTTTCACTGGTTTAAGTATATAAAATAAGCAATAGTTGTTATCAAAATTCCTTGAAATTTAGTTTTTCTGATGTATTCAACCATTGATAATTGTTTTATTTATTACACAAACATTTGTTCTTACTTTCTCAAAAGCAAACAATAAAATCACACAGATATACAAACATATATATATATATATATATACACTAACTAGATACTGCAATATAAGCCAATATTTTAAGAATATACAATAATTAGATATTAGATATTATGTGTTAATCTATTTTTGGCAAATGTTGTATAATAAATGAACTAACATCTTTCATTTCCTAAAGAAAAAATCAAAGCATTATAGATCAATTTATAAGATTCGTGAAATAAAAATGTATACCCGGCCACACGATGAATGTCCCATATCATGATATTCTTTAAATGTATAGTGTTTAAAACCCATTGCTTTAATACCTTGTTCAGTAAGTCGAGCCCATCTTAATTGTACCAATGGATCTTGATCACCTTTATATCAAAAAAAAAAAATTTTATAAGTTTTTTATCATTCGATTACTATTTACCATGACATTGCAGAATCGGTAAATTAACTTTGTTATCACCTGATACAAGTGCCTAATAATAAACATGTATGTAATTCATATATATTTCTTTATCTAATAAAACTAACTTCAGGAAATGTTGTTGATAAAGGAAGCCATGTTGATAAAGCTATAACACCTGCAAGTGTATGAGGACTTGTCAATGCTGAAAAAAACAATCAATAAGATAAAAGAAACAATATATAGAAATATACCTGCATGAAGTGCAATTGCACCACCCCTAATTGTCAGACAAAATATAAAGAAAAATAATTAAATTTAAAACTTACATAGAAAAACCACCAATTATCTATAATTGAATATCCAAAAAAAAACAAAAGAATGCAATGAATTTTCAAAGAAATGCTCATACTTACAATGCGTTCAGGAAGAATTCCTTCTCTAATTTCTTCTTCAACAAGATATTTTACTAAAAACGATGTAAGCAGAAATATGATAAAGGAAACCAATTATAAAGGAAAACAAAAAACTAACAAAATATTGATGATTTTTCAATGCCTTCTTGATCTTCTTTTGTATATGGATCAAGTCCAAAGATATCAAACCCTATTTATGTTATCATATTTAATTGGAAACTCTTCATTACTTTCACTTACAACTCGTCATAGCCATTCCCATATTCAATGTGACTTTTTGTATCGGACTATTATATAAACAATAAATCATTAATGAAAAAGCTGTTAGTGTAATCTCTACAGGATTAAAATGTGAAACACGATGTAGTTGCTGTTACTAATCACAAGTAGATTATTTTCTTTTATCTATTTTCGCACACATTTCTGCATCATTTTCTTCAGAAATGTAACAACAAAGCTGTTCATATATTATTACCAGACGTTATTCATAAATAGTCTGGGTTGTAGCGACCGTCGGATTTGTCCTGGAGCTGGACCTGATAGGTTCTAGTCATTCGAACTGTTTAAGACGCGTTAGTCACTCAATAGAAAAGAATTCAAAAATGAGTTCGAAGATTTCGAGTCCCATGCGTTCTAGTGGATGTGAGCGAAGTCTAAGTCTCTATTCATATACTTCAACAGTTCGATTAGATCGTGTTTCACAAAAAAAAACTCAATTAATTCTTTTGATTTACGCTGTTGGAAAAATAAATTTCACATATGGAACAGATTTTGCAATACGATACATATTAAATATTTCATGCCAACTTGTTCTAAAAGAAAAAACGAATGTATTGTTTTAAACATATTTAAGAAATATCCAAAATTAACTGTCATACCCAACATCACCGAGACCATGTAAAAAAATAACCTAAACAAAAGAATAAATAAAATGTGTTTGCAAATGTAAATTTAATCATTTACAGTAGCTGTTTGTTTGTCACTTGGAGTAATAATGGCTGATTCAGTCAGACTTTTTGAGAAACTAGAGTCATCATCTGATTGTGTCGATGTTTCAGATGACTTCAAACAAAGATTTAATGGCCATGTCGTCGAACATGAATTTCCCATTCAAAATAAGAAAACAACCAACTAAAACATATATGATTTTAACATATTTTGTTTTCTCTCTTTCAAGAAATAATATCACATAAAAAGAAAATCAAAAAAAAAACTTTAAATAGCAAAGAAAAAGATGACAAAAGTTCTATTCAATAAAAACTCATTCACAAAACAATCAATAGTTAAAATCAAAAATTAATAATTAATCTCTTTTTGGTAAATGTTGCTCGATAAAATCAATGACATCTTTCATTTCCTAAAATAAACAAAAAAAAACACAAACACACTCACATAAATTCATATAATAATAGAAAAAGAAAAGAAAACATTTAGTCTCGTTTCGTTAACATTTGTTTTTATTACATTGACGCATAGCATTTTAACTATAAACGATTCTCATGGGATTTTAACACTTTTGTCAGTCGTCTGCCTGAATTCATTCATTCATAGCATAAGATAATATTATTTTTATTACAATATACAAAATCTTGTTTGCAATTAAGTACTTATATGAAACTAAAATTTAAACAAAATTTTTCAAAACACTTACGGTTTTATTTTATATATTAATTTTCTATTACTATTTCTTAAAATAGATTATCTTTATCAAAAGACTTATTATTTTAAAAATATAATAATGAAAATAGAGTAATTCAATATTGACGATTAGATTTTATTATATCATATGAAAAAAAGAAGTCGCCATGTTCAACTCTCGAGGCTGTAACATCAATATATGTTTGTATTTCTCATATAATCTCATAGATGGTTGTATACAATTAATAAGAAGTATTCTTTATTTCTAATTGGTTTTATCATTGAGTGCATTCACATGAGAGTAAGTATCGAACTAACGATAGTTATTTTTGAAGAATGAGATACAACTCGTCTATTCTCTCTTTCATTCGCATGAATAACTCGGTAGATGTTGTGAAAAAAAAACTTAATATACAGAACTAATATTTGATAAAGTTTAGTAGTATTCAGCCTTAAGACTATGCTTGATGTAATTTATTTGATCTATAGCTCGAGTACTTTTTCAGATCAGCGACCTTGACATTGTTTTATGTGCTCTGTCACTTAGATCAAATTAATATATAGGATGTTGTCGATCTATAGAAGAACGAAAACTCGAAATCAGTCATATGATTGTTAATTTTATAGAAAGATGAACAATATTAATCGAATTGATCATTCATTAAATCATTACGAAACAGTTATAGAAAAAAGTTATTGGTTGACAATAAAAATAGAATATAAGTAAGCTTTAGATAATTTGCATGCAAACTGCATAAGTTATTAATCTTAACCTAGTTTTTCGAAATTGATATTGATGAATTAATTAGTATTCATTGTTGAACTAACAACCATGATATGTTTTATTAACTCAAGAATTGTTCTTATTTTTTCTTTTTTATTTGATCGATCTACTATGTCAAATAAGATTATCCTTTTTCTTTTTACTATATTCTCGCACGTGTAGAAATATGTGGATTCAACTCAACTTCAATTACATATCATTAAGATCTGAATGAAAAAAAAAACAAGAGTGACTTGTAGATATTCTTTATCTATGAATTGTGAAAATAGAATCGATTCAACGAAGAAAATAATCAATGAAATAAAAGTTTGATAAATGAGAAAATAAAATTCTTACTTGTTCACAATTTGTATGATCCATACCATCATACTCTTTAAATATATATTGTTTAAAGCCCATTGCTTTAAAATTTTCTTCACATAAGCGAGCTCGATTGATTTGTATTATCAAATCTTTATTACCTATGTATTATGACAAACAATATTTTCAACATATTTATATTCTATATCTAATATACCATGACATTGAAGAATAGGTAAATTTACTTTTTTATCACTAGCTACAAGTGCCTACAAATAAAACCGATATATTTGGTTTCTGTTTAAACAGCGAAACTAACTTTAGGAAAAGTATTTAATAGAGGAAGCCATGTTGAGAGAGCTAACACACCACCAAGTGTATGAGGAGATACCAATGCTAGAAAAAAAAGCAATGAATAAATATTAAAAAAAGATTAAACCTTCTACTTCTCAAAAATCGGTTTTAGATCAGATACATTCAAATAGCACGCAATTTTTCAGTTTTACATTCTGATGTTTCTACAAGATATTCAACAAACAAGAATCAAAAATAACTCATTTGGTAATCCAACATTGCCTGTGAGTGTTCATTTTATATACTTATTTTTTTGTTTTTTTTGAAAGAACATGTCAGAATGCAGGGCATGATAGAGCTCTTGGTTGTTTTTCTAATCTTACTTCTTAAAGGAGAGGAAGCTTAATATTTCAAAAAATGTGGCTATAATTATAAAAATACTCTTTTTTTTTTATATAATTATAGCAAAGCTTAATTCATAAAAAAAAAGGTTCCGTCATGTCCTGCATTTTGACATGTTCTTTTAGATAAAAGTAAAACGCAATAGACTACAATTAAGCTCTTTCAAATATTCTATAGTGCATGATCAAAAAAGTATAAAGACAGAAAAAAGCCAAACAAATTTTCCATTTTATGCAAAAAAAAAACCATATTTTTCCAGCAGAAAATAATATAAAATTTTGTTATATGTGTAAGAAAAATTGACTTTTTTCAAGGGGAGAGAGTTTAAATGATGAGTTCCATACCTGTATGAAGAGCCACTGCACCACCCCTAAGTGTCAAACAAAAGAAATGAAAAGAAAACAAAAACCATTATCATTAATTCTTACATTGAAAATCCTCCAACCATCTTAAACGAACCATGAAACAAAAAAACAATAAGTAATAAAATAAATCTTACTCTACTCACTATACGATCTGGTGGAATTCCATTTTTAATTTCTTCTTCAACAAAACTATTTACTAAACATTAAAAAAAAAATAAATACACATCAATTTATCATTAATAAACAATCTTACAAAGTTGTGATGCTTTTTCGATACCTTCTTGATCTTCTTTAGCTTGCTCATCAAAACCATAAACATCAAACCCTAATTTAATCATTAATTTAAATACATACGAACCATTTCATTACTTACAACTAGTCATTGGTGTTCCATTATTTTTTGATATGTTTATAATTGAACTAAGTAATAAATCGAAATATAAACTTCATAATAAACAATTTCCAATAATCTTTATTTACGCTGTTGGAAATATATATTTGACATGTCGTACTCTTTTTGGTATATCAAACATATTAAATTCATCAAACCAAGTTTTACTTAAAAAAAAAAACAATTTATAAATTTAAAATATTATAATGCAACTCTTCAGTTTCATACCCAACATCATCTAAACCATGTAAGAAGATAATCTAAATAAAAACAATACATATTATATATGAAAAAATAAAAATCTAAAGTCAAATATTTACAGTAGCTGTATGTTGTTCACTTGCAGGAATAATTGAAGGTTCAGTCATATTCGTTGATAAACTTTCTTTTCTTCTTCTTTTAATTTATGATGAATGTTATCTAGAGGAATTAAAGAAAAAAGAAAAATTTTCATTCATGATACTATATTCATCAATTTTTCAATCGGAATCAAAAAAGATAAGTGACAGAGCGAGAGAGATATAAAAAATGTATAAATAGTTAACAAAAAATAAAAAAAAGGAATATACTAATAGCACAAATAAAAAGTGTCAATTTATCTTCTGGAAGAAAATGTTATTTGATGACAACAATTATTTTCAGCTCCTAAAAATAGACAATATATATATATCTTTAGTGGTAAGAATACAAAAAAAAACGGCATTTAGTCTCGTTTTTGTTGACATCCTTTTATTTTTTTTTTGACATAGAAAATAAGAATAAAACGCTTTTCCAACTATAATCGATTAACAGACTTAGTAATAATTTACATTGTCAATAAATTTCTGATTTCATATACAATCACACAAAATACTTATGTCTAATTGAAAATAAGTATTTTATCTATTTTATTCTATCAATTGTTGACAACATTCGTAAGAGTTAGTATCAAGCTAAAAATAATTACTGATAAAGAATGAGACAACACTTGCTTATTTTTTTTCTTTGCTTTATATGAATAGTTTTGTTTATATCGAAAAACCTGAATTTACCGGACTAACGCTTCATTGACTTTGCTTAATGATATTAGAGCTTAGTACTTTTGTTAATGCCTTTCGATTTAATTGAATGTTGCACTCAACTATAGGATTCGTATTTTCTGCAAGAAAAGAAACAATATTGTTCGTATTTGTTTTTTCTTTTTATTCCATTAAAATGTATTGCACGATTGAGAATTATGTACGAAGAAGTTTAGATGAAAACAATGAAAGCTAAAAAGTTTGATAATCATAGTCAGATTATACAAATAAATATTTATGAGTCAATTAGTATTCATCGTACAGTTATAAACTATTACATATTTTAATAATTGATCAACTGCTCTTATGTTTTTTTTTGCTACTTCTTAGAGATATCATATCAAATGTGAAGTACACATTACGTACATTGTTCTAATTTATACATAGAAATAAAAAAAGAAAATCTTTTCAATAATTAAGTGTTTTTGAATCAACAGTCTGTGCATTTTTTGAAGCTTCAATGAGTTATGAACATTCTAAAAAGAGTTCATGCGTTTATCTTATTGCTAGAAAGATACTGTACTTTTACGATATTTTAAAAATAAAGTTCATGAGTCGCTCAGAAATAACAGAAAAGTAAAATTTGCGCCTCTCGAATGAAAAATTTTTCCTACTATCAAAATAAAGAAAATTTCACATTCACATATTCATTCGTATATTCGTAGAAAGGCGAAATAAGAATTTAATTCATTTAAAAAACATAAAAAATGTCATAGGAAAAACTAATCTTAATTAATCGTCAACAATTAATAAAAACAGCTCTTAATTACAAAACGTAATACATTGTATAGTCAAATAAAAGAACAACGTATGTTGATAATTTCTTTTAATAAATAAATCAAAGAATCTATGTACTAAGTTTATAGTCGGATTCCTATAGGAGAAATATTTCACTATTCAAATTCCCAAATGAAAGACTTCTCCTACGATTCAATAGTTTTCCGAAATTTCTTCAAACTTGAAATATTTCTCCCAATGCGCATTGGTGTACACATGTAAATTCTGTACGTCTATGTCATACTCATTAAAACTCATTGCTTTAAAATTTCTTTCACTTAATCGAGGCTCAGTCTATTTGTACTATCGCAACCTTGATTATCTATCGATCATAATAAACAATATTTTCAGCAGATCTAATATATTATGACAAAACATAATAGGGTACATTACCTTTGTTACTAGCAGTTATAAATGACATATTGAACTTTTGTTAAATAATAAAACTATCTTATGAAAAAGTAGTCAATAGAGGAAATCATATTGAAAGAACTACAAGACCACCTGATGAATGAGAACATGTCGATGATGAAAAACAAAAAGTAATAAAAAAGAAAATATTAAATGATAAATTTCACACCTATATGAAGAGTCACTGCACTATTTCTAATTGTCATGCAACAATGATGAAAAGAAAAAAGAAAAAGAAGCATTAGTATTAATGCTCACATCAAGACCCCTCGAATAAACTAAAACCAAACATCAAAAACAATTAGTAATATAAATTCTTTGATACTAACTATACCTTCTAATGAAATTCTATTTTTAATTTCTTCTTCAATTAAATGATTCTTTTTCAAACACTAAGAATAATTCTGAATAATTGTTCTTACGAAATTAAAACAATTTATCATTATACGTCTACATATATAATTTTAAATTATAATTCAGAATATATATATTTAGTGCATATCATTTTGACGAGTCATTCAATTATTCTTCATCAAATCTCCAAATAATAAGTCATAGAAAATCTATTATCCAATACTAATCTCCTTCATGAACTATGAATAAAAATGCAAATAATTATTCAATAAAAAAAAAGAAATCGCTTTTCTTTTACATTGTTGAAAAAAGAAAAATTATGCATATGAAAGTTTTTTTTTTATTAAATTCTTCTAAACAACTCTCTATAAACAAAATCTCAATAATTTTAGACATATGAAGCAAATAAAAAAGACTCATTCTTATATTAATATCGTCTAAAAACATGTAAGAAAATTATCTTGCCTTAGTAAATAAATGATTTAATTAATAGATATGAATGACTTACACTAGCTGTATTTTTATTAGATGCTAAAATAACAATCAATTGCTTGTTCATCCTTGTTTTTCATTTCTAGAAATTATCAATCATAGTACAGATAGGAGAATATATTTCCCGAGACATTTTATTTCGTTTTTTAATAATCCTAATGATAAATACAAAAAAGCTAAGCAAAAAAAAACGAAGAACCAAATGACGATATATGATTGGCTATTTTTATAAACAAATAAAAACAACTTCTCACAACTAACACTGTTATTTCAAATGGATTCTCTTTGCAAACAAATAGATAAATTAACAATTGATTATCTTGAAGAATTTGGTCATTTACTTGCATGTAAACAATTAATTGATGATACAATAAAACAAGGATATTTTAATCTTTCACGTGCACGTGTTATAATGGGTGTTAATAATCTTTCAAGTTTACAATATTCGGAAAAAGATCCAATGATAGCTTCAACAAAAATATTTATAACATCATCACCATTTAATATTGAAAAACAAATTAATAAAGAACATTGTGATGATGCATTAAAATGGTTTGGTTTATTCAGTCCAAATGTATTAAAACAAAGTCAAAAATCTTTTCAACAAACAATTGATTTAGCATTAGAAGCTTGTATAAGACAAAAAAATATTTTACAATTAAAAAATCAAATTGAAAAATTATTAAAAGAAAAACAAAGTTTTTTAACAAAAGAAAATTTCGATGAAAATAAAAATGATGATTAAATTTTATTTTAGATTTTTTTTATTTATTTGATTTGTTTGTTTTTGTTCGTTATTTTTTTGTTATTTAATAAAATGAATGAACCAAAACGTGTACAAATTATTCGACCACATCAAAATATTAATGAATTTGTTTATCAACATGATAATAATACTCAAGATCATTCATATGAGCAAATTTTACTAGATCAAAAAGAATATTATACGATTGGTTGGAGACGTTTAAATACAATTCAAGCATTACCTTTATATGAAAATTGGCCAATAACTATGGGCAATGGTGTTGCATCAGTTTCGAGTGGAATCTTAGGTTAGTCAGAAAAAAAATATCAAGTAACAGCGATTATTACTAATGAATTGACTTCATAGTCATCATGTATTCTCTCAGAAAAATGAAGACTATTTTAGAAAGTTCGCATATTCTATACATTTTAAAATGTTTTCGCAGATGATTGATGCTTTGGTTTGAAACACGATCTATACAAAAAAAAAAGAAATATCCAGGGTTTGCAATAAAACGCTTTAATAACAAAAGCGTTTTTTCTAGAAAGTAAATATTCTGTTTGTAGTCTTTTTTTTATGTGCTTTCATATGAGATATTATTCAGCTTGATTGCGTGTCATGCTATGGAGAAAATTAGAGCTCAAGCTAAAAAGGATTTTGTTATTCGGCTGTCTACTCTGACATTCTCCTTATATGTATAATAGACACATCACGAATCACTTCAGTAATATCCCTTCTTCCTGCTAGTCATCATGGAACTGGAGAATGTCTCTTAAAAACGCCTCTCTTCCGTCCTATACTGTGACAAATATCTTACTGTATGATAATTTTCTCCTCATGAAGCAGGATAAGCATATCCGACAAGAGTACTTAAATATAGAATTAGCCTGAAATACAAGGGAATTTCAGTGAGTTGTTTTTTGCCTTTCTTTCAAACTGATTAAAATGTATTACAGCTAACATCTTTCACTATTGACAGTAGGAGGTAATTCATAAATCTACACATATGTTGATGATGTTTTCCGTTTTTAATAATAGAAACTCAAGCGTGCTTTAAAATTTAATGTCTGTTGAAATTATGCTAATAGCTTTTTATACTTACAGATATTTATTTTGACGTGTGTCAAATACTATAACAGTAATGAAAAAAATTTAATTTATAGTGTAAAAAACCAAAACTACATTGACTTGATTTTTCTAAATCTTTATTTAGTTTTGTTTATAATAATATAAATATGAATGTGTGAAACAGATGAAATATCAATCAAAAGCAGGTTTTTCTTCCATTTCTTTAGAGTCAATTTCGTGTTGTACCATGATTTTTCATAATTTGACGGCGTATTTTTCATTTAGTTCGTTAGATAGCTTACACAAAAAACATAGCCTACAAATGAAAGCATAGTTGCAGAGTTCGTTAGAACTTTAAAGATGTCTCTTAGAGAAATATTCATGCCCTATATATATTTCTATATTCTCGTAGAATGACACGACGAGCTAGCGAATGAATTGATCAGAGTGAATCAAACTATTT